CACAAGTAATAATAATAATCCTTGCATTTGATATAGCGCTTTTCACGTCTTCTAGACGTCCCAAAGCGCTTCACAGAATATACTGTAAAGTGAATTGACTGTATACTTGTGCGAACTCGGCAGCCAATTGCGCACAGCAGTGTCCCACAAACTGTCGTGGATTGAAAATGACCAATTTTTATTATTGTTTTGTTTTTTTGGAGGGATTATTATTATATTATTATTAAGTACCACAGAAAAGCGCTTTACTGTGAAGTGCTTCAAATGTAAGTATGATTATTAGTTCTCAGTGGCAGTGCCACATTATTTCCTGTATGGAATGACTGATTCATGGGGTAAACAGTTTGCATATCTGGGGTAATTAAAGCTATTATCTGTTTGGCTTAATTAATGTGGGTGGTTTACTCCCTGATTGATATCAGAAGGGGTTGTCCATTGCATGCAATGTGAGTACTGAAAGTCAGATTGTTTTTCCAAGGTGTCCTATTACAGTGACTGTTTTGTGTGGCAGATTGAAGTTTGTTTGATTGTACTTGTTTTTGGAACATGGCAATATGTAGGTCACTGTTGTAGAATACAGATGTCCATAGCTATGGATGCTGCCTGGGTTACACTCCGCTGGTTGTTTGTCTGATGCAGTAAGCAGACTGTCATTACTTGCATGGCAGACTATAATTAAACAAACCCTTGATGGTTTAGTTACCGATTCTTGCAAGATTTTTTTTGTTGGGCGATATTGTTGCAGGAATATTTAAATCTGGCATCCAAATAAATATTTTAAAAACCCATTGAAAATGGTTTATTGGCTAAATCATGTCACAAAGTGAGTGGGTGTCATGGCAGACTGAAAAGTACTTTCTGTACTCTACGTACTAAGACTTATTAGTGTCACTATGATACTAAGAAAATTTTACAGATTAAAAATTTAACCTTCAGGGTACCATTGAAATAAATGCACTAAGCTCTGTGAGCTGATCACTGGCTTCATTGGCTCCCCATCCCCCAGAAGATCGAGTTTAAGGTCCTCGCCATCGCTTTCAAAGCCATCCACAGTCTCTATCCTCCTTACATCTGCGAACTATTAAAATTAGTAACTTAATTTACTCAAACTCTGGCTTAAACAAATTATGTTCTTATATTCTTATGCTGTTACATGTGAGTGAGGCAGCACATCAGTTCTGCGAAAGAGTGTGTGTTTGAGTGTGAGAGGGTGTATGTATGAGTCTTTGTCAGTGCCCATGTGAGAGATCTGCTTCAAGGCTTGCCACATGTTACAGGTCCGTGTTATATAGCCTGCCAGCATTCCTGCTCATGGCTTGCACATGAACCCTGGCTATGTAGGTCCTGTAGAACCATACCTAGTGGAAAGTGAAGCGAGTCGGACACCTTAAGAAGGGAAGGCAGAGGGGGAATTTGCCGGAGAGAAGTACATTGGAACATAAAATTGGGATTGGTGAAACCAACCAAAGGCAACAGCAGTCTGTGGTTGGAGATGTTGCTTTATTTATGACAAAGTTTGTTGTTGGGAGTGAGGAGGTTGGGGCAGGCGATGGTCATTATACACTTGTCTCGTTGCTGTACAACCTGTTCACTTGTCAGAGAGTGGCCAGACCGCTTGTGGGCGCCGTTGGCATTGGTGCTGTGTGTCTGAGGGTGGCCAGCAGTTTTGCAGATTTACTGCAAAACTGTTCCACGTGTGTCATTTCCCCAGTGCTGAGCCAGTGTGCAGCCCCTCTAACTGTGTTGAGTCCTCGCAACTGGCGTTCCCCAACAGTGTTGAGTGATGACGATTGCGTTCATGTCCCATTTACTTACCAATCCACTTTCCTTCAGGCTGCAGTCAGTGATCTGAAATCCAGCTGGTATTACTTATTAACAACCACTGCTGCAGAGCGGCTTCGAATGTTCACACAACGTGTGATGTGGGCAGACATGAAAGTGAGATAGATCTTCGTGTTGCTGATGGACAATTCACCAATTTAACAGAGTTCCCTCGTTCAGACTGTATGATTTTTGTTTACTTATTTATTCTATTTACTCTGCATTTTTTTTCAAGTAGGTCCTTCCCTCAATTAAAACCAGTGCAGCATTAACATTGAAGAGAATCCAAACTACTGATTCCATCCTTTTGGCCCTCTCACGAGCAGCTCTGGGAGCAGTCAGTGCCATCTGCTGAGGATCCCATGACTACTTCAAACCAAGAATATTGTATATCCACTGTACCATTTAACATCTGCTCCACCGTTGTAGAAGCAAGCACCAATTTATAAAAAAAGTTTTGCCCTTTATCTCTCCCCCACCCCCTCTCCCCCCTACCACCACACACACACGCGCACACACGAACGCATGCACAGATACACACAGACACACAAATATATTGGCCTACAAAATACACAGTCGGTGCACATTGTAGTATAATCCTGTGAAGCGCATTCAGATGTTTTTTGACAGGTGAGGGGCTATATCACGTGCAAGGATTATTATTATAACAAAAAAGTGGTTACTGGTAAAATAGACGGTGCCCAGTCTTTGGAAGTAAAAAGAGCAGTTCAGATTGTGATGTGACCATCATATATCTCCAGTGTTGCGAAGCACAGTCACGTTTTGAGGTTTTTGCCTTTTTAATCGAATTCCTTCTAACCTTTTATTACATTTATTGCTAATCTCTCTACTGTTTCTCTCTAACACACATTCTATATCTCACTCTGATGCATGGATACTTCAGATGAAGCAGGAGCATTAAGGAAAATGGAGAAAGAGCAAGGAAATAGGTTTAAAAATATTAAAAGGAGCCATGAGCTTGCAAAATAGTGGACAGGGCTCATTGGTCTTATGTTGCTATATTGTTGGTGCAATTTCCCTTTGAATACTAATGCCACCTCTGCCTATTTGAAACTTTTTTTTACCCCTTTGGCTGCTGACTTTGTAGGATAATCTAACTCACACTTGAAATTGAATGAAATGGTCACATCAGTGAGGGAAATTGCTAGGTAGAGCAACCAATAGATATCTGAGGGCACACACATCTTAACCTTTATAAGTTTGCTCGTAGATTACATAATTATATTGCTTGCATTCAGTATTGTGCCTTTCACGGCAGAAAGATATTGACACAGGATTTGCTGAAAGGTGCAGTGATTATTTTGTAGGCAAATATGGCAGCTCCCTTGCACACAGAACATACCCATGAAATTACACAGCTACATAGAGTTAAATGGCACAGAATTCAGCCTAACCAGTCAGTGCCAGTGTTTATTTTCTACATGAGCCACCGCCACTCCTACTTTCCCTCATCTATACCCCCCTTTTCCCATATCGCACATGCATTCCCTTCTCCCTCATGGAGATAGTGACCAATATTATCTGGGGCGTTGTTTTCTGGGACACTGGAAGAAACTTCCTTCTCTTTTTGAGTATAAACTGTGTGAGTTCCTGGATGAATATCCCAGTGTAGGGCTTGAATCCACAACCTACTGACAACCTCCATTTAGGAGTGAAATCAGGAGGCAGTTTTTCACCCAAAGGATAGTGGAAATCTGGAACTCTCTCCCCCAAAAGACTGTGGATGCTAGATCTGTTCACATCAAGACTAAGGTGAAGGTGGATAGCTATTTATTAGGTTAGGATATTAAGAGATACGGGGAAGGGTGGATAATTGTACTTGAGGTACAGATCAGCCATGATCTTATAGAATGGCAGCACAGGCTCGAGGGGCTGAATGGTCTACTTCTATTTCTATATTTCTATGATACAGAGGCTACTAACTGAGCCAGGCTGACACCTTGAGAAAGGAACATCTTCTGAAATCTCTGACCTTAGTCACATGTGAAGTGCTACGTGATGGCTGTTGCTGTTTACAAAACTTGCTGTCATGAATGACAGAAATTGATGACTGCTAATGCAATCAACAAAAGGGCTGGTTGTAAGGATGAATGTGAAAATTTTGTATTGCTTACTTTACTCCCCATGCAGCTGTGCATAGTCGGGTAAAATGCGCACTTTTCACAAATATCTAGTGAATTAGCATGGAAGTTATTGTGCTGGTTGTACTTTGTATGTATGGGTTTCTCACAAAGAATTATTCAGGGGATAATAATTCCTTCAAAATAATGAAAATAATTTGGTCATTCAATCCTTGACTGTTTTGGGACACTGCCCCAACCTAACTGTTTTTGTGTATGTGAGTGAGTTGTGTTGGCAAAAACTGTTCAACCCAGGGTACAGGCTGGGATGCTGAAGGCAATTTTCACATTGTAACTACTCTGCTGCTACCTAAGATTAGCTGCCTCAGCACAAACTGGGAATTGAACCTCAGACCTTTCAGTCGGCATGGCTTAGTGTTGTTCACCGGGCATCGGAGGAGCCTATAAATGTTTGTCTGCTGCACTATATAAAGCTTACCAGTGCCACCATAAAACTTATCTGAGTGTGTGTTTACAAGCGCTGCAGGCTGAGGGATGAAGTAATTAGTTTTGTCATTTCTAATTTCTTTTGTATTTATTTATTTGCCCATTTCATGTTCGTCTTGTGTGTCAATCTGACTCGGTTGGTAGCACTCTTGCCTCTGAGTCACAGGATTGTGGATTCAAACCCCATGTCGGGACTTGGAACTCATAGCCTAAACTGGCAGTCCAGGGGCGATTCCTCACTGAATTCTGTGGATAAACACCTGGTGGAGACTGGTACTCTCATTGCCATGTGGATGGTTGTGAGCCAAGACATATGTACTCCTGGTGTTGTACCAGCTGGATTGTATTTATATTGGTGAACAATCTTTTCTGCCCAATAAGATCAATTATATTTACTGTTAAACACTCTCTGTGCGAAAGGCGCTTTCATCATTGAAATTCCCAGTCATTGGCTTCACCCTCACCATAAATACTGAATAATATCAATCATTCCTCTGCAGCTGCAAATTAACAAGAGTTAATTCGATGGAAATGCAGTCCCTTTTTATATTAAAATGCAATATGTTACAGTGTGAGCTCTGTTTTGTACAGGCACTCAGACGGGAGCTTGTGACTAAGGAACAGACTGTGATCAATGCTCTGGATTCCGCTCGACTGTTCCTGGCAGACCAGCCTATTGAGGGGCCTGAGGAGCCGCGACGTCATCTCCATGTTAAAACAGGTCAGTCGTTAAACTCCTGCCTTTTGTAGTGAAAGCAACCACATTGCTGGAAAGGCTCGACCTTTCGTTCTGCTACACTGATTAACTGAAAACGAAAGGCAGGTGGCACAATGCACTGGAGAGTGTTTGTTGAAATCCACTTAGCTGCGTTCGTCATTCCTGCAGACCTGCTGGGTGAAGGATCCTGTTGGATTAGTGGGTTGGAGTTTAAACGTACCATTTAACACATGTAATAAAAAATTATCAACACTTCCGGATTAGTGCAGGGTGGTTTATGCGTTGACCCCTTTGCTGTTTGATTCTCTTGTAATCTGTATAAGAGGATCTTTTACTGTCACTTCACAGTTATTTTGGGGATGTTTTTGTGCGCAAATTGGTTACTGTTTTTGCCCACAAATCATGGTATTTACTCATCGAAAGAAGACCAAGGTCCATCTATTTCACCTTCCGCCATCCTGGCAATCTTCATGTCCCAAACTATATACGGCATACATTTGACAATAAATCTTAATTTCAGATATCCTTCCAATGTGAAAGACACAAAATCAAATCCAAGGATTATTTTATTTTTTCGTTTCAGTTCTGTTTTTGCATTTTATTTTAATGCACAACTTTTCCACTGGAATTGTTGGGCTCTTCAGGATCACGGAGTCCTGTAGCTCAGTGGTTAGAGGTCTCGCCTCACAAACGAGAGGCCTGGGTTCAATTCCTGGCAGGGTGAAATATTGGGCAAGTTTCCTTATTCCACAAGCCTCTGTTTACCTAGTAGTAAGTGGGAACCCGGTTGTTAGCTGATTGGCAGATCACTTTATCAGGGGTAAGAATTTCTTAAACAGAAACAAATTGGTCACTTCAATCCATGACTGTTTGTGAGATACTGCTGTACACAACTGACTGTCGCGTTTCGCCCATGAAATACACACTTAATTTACTTTACAGTATATTCTGTGAAGTGTTTTGAGACTTCTTGAAGACGTGATTAAGCGCTATATCAAATGCAAGGATTCTTATTATATACAATAACCATTAGAATCTGCTTGGAGATTACTCTGAGGTTGAGAGATCGGATTAGAATTTCACAGGTGATTTTAGTTAAAGAAAATGAGAATTTTGATCAGTGGACATCTCAAAGCACTTCACAGGATAAACTGTGAAGTGTTGTGACTGTGTATTTTGTAGCAAACTTGTATATCCTTTAGTCACTTTTTGTTTGGGGAAATTGCTAGTGCTGTGGAACTGAATGTCCATGCGTCCTTCAGGATGAGAAAATCAAAGTGGTCTTTATTTTGTATGTATGCAAAGATTCTTTTAAATAAAATCAATTTTGATTATTTTCCTATTATGTAGTACCAATGCTGTGTGCAGCGGAGATGATGTGACCTAGGTTAGAGTGCAATAAAGTGGCCTATGAAATAAGACCTGCACGTAGTTTAATAGCACCGCAAGACTTTAAATAATGATAATCCTGGTGTTTGATATAGTGCCTATAAAGTCGAAATGTCTCAAAGCGTTTTACAGTAATTACTGTTAAATGTAGTCATTACAAATTTGTAGATGATCGAGGCAGCTGATTTGCACAGCAATGTTACACAAACGGCCAGGAAGTGACTTGAGATTCACACTGACGTTAAGTGTGATTTTTTCCCCCAGCAAATTAATTGGCCATCCTTAAAAAGGAATCCCAGTAAGAGACAACATAAATTAGACCCCACTCTCTGAGATTTGGTTGGATCTAAGAAATCTGAAAATGCCTTTTTAAATTCAGTTCAAATAAAGCTTTCAAGAATGTAATTGTTCTGCACAGAAGCTTTCATGATGTTGAGCTTCATTTGTGGTAATGACACTGACCATAACTCACCTTTGGACATTGAAGATTTATGTCAGCATCTTGTTTATGGCAAAAACAAAATTGCCATTGCTCCATAAATTATCCTCTATATCATGCTCCAAATAAAAGCAAACAATGCATTGTGCTAATGGACATTAGCCCAATGCTCTGTTTGCTTTTATTTGGAGCATGATATAGAGCAATATTTTAAAAGTTTTTTTTTTAAAAATCCATATTTTAAACTATGGTAAACTCAAATTATCGCTGTGTTTGGGAGGTAGCCAGCAGCTACATTATGGTAAGAGTCTGTAAGTCTATTAATGGAACTGAAATACCTTCCGTAACTAGACTGGTAAAAGCATAAAAGCTGTTCCATTATTTGAAATTCGATGTGAGCTTACTTTGCATTTTAAATTGAGTATCGAGTGCCACTCTCTCTGTCAGCACTCCTTGCTGCCCCATATATACGTCTTGGGAAGTCCTCCAGATGTGAAAGGTGCTATATAAATGCAATTTGTTGTTGTTATATACCCTGCCGGACCATTAATAATGGTTGTCAGTTTCTTCTGTCCTGAATAACTCTTGCCGCAGTTGGGAGTTCTCGTGGTGTACATTAACTCAGAGCTCAGTTGCCCAGAAATTGTGATGAGTGCATATAAATACTGCAGGTTTTATCAATTTTATTTATTTCGGGGGCAAACCGTGAAACCTAAAAGTAAAATAGGTCTGTGCCTACGGTAGCCTTCACCGCTGCTCTTCTCTTCGCTGGCCATTCTGTGTTGCTCTCTGGCATTTTGTGCCAACTTCCTTGGCATCAAATCGCTGCTCAGGATTTCTGTTCCCGGATGCAAGGCCTGCCTTGCCTAGCTGTGGTGTGTTCATCCATTAATCCATAGAACAAGAGTTCACCTACTGGTGAGTGACTCACCTCCAGCTCAATAACTCTGGATTCTGCTGGATCCTGAAGTGCTGTTGAGGAGAGGCATTGTGTTTTACAGGGTCAGTTACTTCTGCAGATAACTGGTCCTGTCCTACAATTCTCCTGCATGATGTATTGTCATATGAGTTTAATATATTCCTGTGTCTGCAATGCACAATTATGACACTGGATCATCTTTCAAAGGAATTGAAGGCAGAAATGGAAGCATTACCATGTAAATGTTATTACATTAATCCTGCCGGTTCCGTCGGTCAACAGTGAAGGGCTTTGTAGAGTTCATTTTCAAATGTTATTTGTAGTGGGTTTGCTGAATATTTCAGATTAGTCCACTGCAGAAGTTTTTGGGATGTTCGGTAAACTTTTAAGCTTGTTGAGGTGATGGAATGTCTGCAGCCAACCTGTGCCCAGCAATAAATAATAATCCTTGCATTTGATATAGCACCTTATCACATCTTCTAGCCGTCTAAAAGCGCTTCACAGAATATACTGTAAAGTAAATTGACTATGTTTGTGGGCGAAATGCCCTTGCAAATTCATTAATTATTTTAAAATAATTTATTGGCTCTACTTCATGGTTCATGGCAGACACTTTTATATTCAATCCACTCTATGGGTAAAGAAAAGTTCCCAACCTTCCAATTTTTATAACCTTACTTTTAATTCTCCCTCCCTGTGTTTATCTTAAATTTGTGCTGAGGGGTAGTGTTCATCAGGAGGTAGGTTAACACTGGCTAAACTTCTGCGTCCAACAGACTGAGTCTAGATACCAGAGATGAAAAACTATTGTGCACTTTCCCGTTGGTATTTAATATTCATGGTCATCTGAGCAAAATTCACTATCGCCACCACAAAAGGACTCCCTCCACTGTCCCATGATACCAGGGATGAGGGGCTTCAGTTATGAGGGGAGATTTCTGTGAGTCGGTCTATTTAATTGGAGCAGAAAAGGCTGAGAGGGGACCCAATAGAAGTGTACAAACATATGAGGTTTTGACGGGATAAATGGGGAGAAGCTATTTCCATTAGTAGGGGAGTGAACAATAGTTGTAAGATAGTCATAAGAAAAGTGAAAGGAGAGCTTTGGCCTATTTGTTTGCACTCACAGAGTTGTTGGGAATGTGGAATGTCATATAAGGTGGTAGAGGCAGAATCCATTGTGTGTTTTAAGAGGGAAGTAGATAAGTACAGTATATGAAGGATAGAGACTTGAACGTATTTGGGGAGAGGGAGGGCAGTGGGAGTGAACACGTTGTTATGAGAGATGGTGCAGACTCCATAGAACCATTGAAATTTTCGATGCAGAAGAAGGCCATTCGGCTCATCGTATCTATGCCAGCTCCTTCGAGCAATCCTTTCAGTCTAACTTACCTGCCTTTCCCCCATACAGTGGAGGCCTGTAGTTCAGTAGTTAGAGCGAGAGACCTGGGTTCGATGGGCAAGTTTCTTTACTCCACACACCTCTGTTTACCTAGCAGTAAGTAGGAACCTGGTTGTTTGTCGATTGGCGGATCGATTTTCCAGCGATAATATTTTCATCAAAATAATGATAATAAATTGGTCACTCAATCCATGTTTGTGGGAAACTGCTGTGAGCAATTAGCTGCCCCGTTTCGCCCACAAATTATCCAGTCAATTCACTTTACGGTATTCTGTGAAGCGCTTTGAGACGTCTCGAAGACATGATAAGGCGCTATATCAAATGCAAGGATTATTATCCTTCTGTAGCTGACTCTTTTTAAGGTCCGTCTTGAAGACTAATATGGATTTTGCCTCAAGTACCTCTCCCGGCAGGGCATTCCATATCCAAACCTCACTGTGTGTGAAAACATTTTTCCTAACTTCCCCATTTGCTCATTTTCTAACTATGTTAATTTGATGCCCACTAGTTGCTGACTCACTGACCAGTGGAAATAATTTCTCGCTATTGATCCTATCAAAACCCCTCATAATTTTAAGGTCCTCAATCGAGTCACCTGTCAACCTTCTTTGTTCCAGTGAAAAAAGGCTCAGTTCCTTCATAGGCCAAACCACTTATCCCCAATATCAATCCCCAATGTCAATCTCCTGACATCTTTCCTAAAGGAAGGTGACCAATACTGGGCACAATATTCCAACTAAGGTCTAAATAACTTGATGGTCCAAATGGCTTCCTTCATTGCTGTAAATTTCTAAGATTTTTTGAGGGCTTTTTATTTTCTCCCAGCAAATGTTATACTCCTCATGGCGAAGGGTGTTAGGACTGAAATCTTTTTCCATTTTGGAGAATGCAGTGTTATCAACACCCCCCAGCTGAGGTACAGCACAGTTAGATGCACAATAAAGTTTCCTTTGCACTGACAGCAATATGCCTCAGCCCCAACCATAAATGAGAACCCAACCCCTCGCCCCTTGCGCCACCACCACTAAAGAGTTTCCTCCACTACTAAAGAGCTTCCACATCCCTGCTGGATTGGTGCAATGTTTTCCAATGCCCAGTGCCAGGTGTGCTGTGGTCCTCTTGTGAGAATGCCTTTTTTGGGGTGAATCAAGGGCACTTTTGAACCCAGAATTGCTAGGAACTAATAGGAACTGAGCTAAATCTTTATAAACTTGTTTCAGATAGGACCCTTTCATCTCATCGGTTGGCCTGATTTAATTCCAGGTTCCAGAGGCAAAAGGCCAGTTTCAAAGCCAATGGACCATCATACCCGTTACAAAATTCACATTCCTTTTATTTTCAAAGTTCTTTATCTATTTAGATTTTGTTGCTGGATTTCCTTTAAATTTTCTCACGTAAACACATGCTATCTTGTGATCCTATTTTCCTTGCAAAGTTTTTCTAATTATTCATTTAATTTCCTCCAAAATCATTCCTGCCCTTTTCAAGTTCCTTAAATTATTAATTTCAGATGCCTTTGCTACTGAAGTTTGCTCTTACTCATTCATTTCTATTTAATGTGTCTGCCATGTAGCAGGATGGGGAGATCAAGCTTTATAGGTTAAGCGCTCCGAGACACTACCCCATACAAAGGGCTATATTAATGCAAGATGTTGACTTGTGCTTGTCTAAAGTTCACTCTCCAACATGCCTTGGACAATACAGCCAATTTCAGTGACTTTCTTTGCAGGGAACAACCTTCTATCAGTAGACCATGTTGTACTAAGTCTCCAAACCCCATTTGTACGACTACTGAGACTTCAAGATGTTTTTAGTATTAGGCTTCAAAAGGTGGCATTCTTGCTGTGAACCACTTTTGCTACTTTCTTTTGTGGGTGCAGCTATTAAGATGTCATTATTGCAGAATCCAGTCGAATGGGTTTATACTGTAAAGGCTATCTGAGTCCAACCATTCCAGCTGTCATTTATTTCTTGTTTTTAAAATTATTTTTGGAGGCCATTTACTTGGTCCTCACTCGCACATGTTCTTGTTCCAGGACCATTACTGAAGGACTGTAGCCCCATTCATTTGCTGAATCTCTTGCGGAAGTGCTTAACTTTGCAGCCCAATTCTGTACCAATGCCCCCTTTCTCTAGAATTCAAATCTACAGAGACATATAAAGAACAGCTTCATAAATTATGTATTTTAATTCCAGTTAACTGCTTGTGCTGTATATGCTTTCTCCATGCGTACAAGCCAGCCTGCTATTGCTGGGATAACCCTGTACTGTCTCTTGCTCAAGTCCTCTTTGCGGTGCCACACTTTGGCTGTGTGGCTGCACATGGTAGTTAGCTGGTCCCTTGGGTCTTGAAGATAGTCTGGACTCTGAGCATCACCATGACAACTAGGCCAAAGAATACAGCTCCTCCCGGGTCAGAGTCTAGTGGTTAACCTGAACTGTCCCAGTGTTCATAGCTAGCCAAACACAATCGTTGAATGCCGTCAATGAGTATCTATTTCTATTTGGAATATACTATTATTATTTATTTTCTTTCAAAAATGCCATGTTCTGTAAACTAGCCAAGCATCTGGAAATGCTGCCCACAACAGTACTGCTGTGCTGTACCTGAAATCAAATTTTTCGCGTACAGCTTCACTGTATTGCTAAAAGGTATATGGATTCACTGAGAACAAACTAACTGGCTGCATATCTTTGCCTCCAAACTCAAGGTCACTACATTTCACAATAATCAAAATCCCGTAATGTACTTTTGGAATGTCTCAAAGACCTGAAAAGGCAGTATATCAAATGCAAGGATTATTACATTATTTCTCCTGCCCTATCTGCTGCACCATCAGTGGGCGGGCACTCAGACATTCTGCCTTCACTCTCATGGAAGTCTATCCCGGAGTCACTCTGACTCACTGCCTTCCTCACCTCATTCAAGGTCTTGGCTCAAGACCACCCTCTTTGACTGCACTTTAGGTCATCTTTCCACTCCTCACCCCCCTCAGCTCTCACATTCAGCTCGGGTGCCCAGTCAGTGCTGTTAAGTACTTTGAGACATCCTCCCGACATGGAAGGCCCTATATCAACAAAAGCAACTTGCATTTATTTAGTGCCCTTCACGCGTGGTAACGTCCCGGAGCGCTTGACAGAGACGGAGTCTGACCCTGAGCCAGGAGGAGAGGTGACCATCAGCATGATCAAAAAGGAAGGTCTGTACGCTGGATTTGAAAGTGGGGAGGCAGGGGGCAAGGCGGAGGGAGTGAGGGAGAGAGTTCCAGATCTGCGGGGCGTAGTGGCTGAAAGCACAGCCACTGATGGTGGAGCGGAGGGGACAAGGGACGAACCGAACAGGAGGTCGGAGCCAGCCAAGCGGAGGCAGCGGATGGGGGAGGAATGCAAGGTGGATAGGTAGGGAGGTGGTCTGAGACGGAGGGCATTATACAAGCGCATGTTGTTGTTGTTGAGGTGCGAGGGCATGAAGGGATTTGAAAATGAGTGAGAGGATCAATGTATATTGAAATGTCCGTGGCTCCATTTTTGTTTCAATGTCTTCTAAATTGCTCCCTGACTCTTCTGAAGGTTCTGGGAATGGTTTCACAGGAACCTTGGTGTTGAGCACTTCCAAGCCAGGCACAGCAATTCGATGCAATGAGATCCCAACCTCAGAAGAGCACCTGCGTTTGCACCAAGTGTAACTTGCTTCCGTTACGCACATCGGCATGATATGCCTCCCTCTGAGTGGGAGCAGCAATGTTAGGCTTCAGCTGAGGGAAGGTTTTGTGCTGTGGGGTTTCCCACCAACAACTGGGTAGAGACTCCCCAAAGCTATCACGCAGGATATTTTACACACCGCAGATGGTTATCCTATCAGTCTGAGCTGGATTCAAACACAGGATCCAGAAAAGAAAAGTCAGTGAGGATAATCTAACACACTGTTCCACCTAGTCTTCTCTTTAGCTTTTGCTTCAATGGATAAGCCATATCAAAGAGCTCCCTGGACCACATGCCTCGTAATAACATCTTTGCTATTGCTCTAAAAGAGTTCTGCCAACGACCTTCTAATGTGTTCATCCCTCACCGTAATCTCTAATAGTTATTTCTGAATGTTAGACTTAAGCTTTAAAAATCTTATATGTTATTTTTATTGCAGCATAGTTTTTTGAAGTCCTGAATCTATAGCCTGCAGTAACTTGCAGTGCTTTGAATTTGACACATCTCATTATTCTCATTTAATATACAGAAGGTGATTGGAATATTAACGTAGCCATTTACTCCCCTCATTAGTATTTTGAATGGTTATTGAAACATTGAACAAGGGCGGTTTGGATATAATTGGGTAAACTCTACAAGGCCTATCAGTCTCTCTGAATGGAATATCTCAGTGTAAACACCCCACAAGATAAATTGCTGAATTTGACAATGAAAGATTATGCCCATGTTTCAAATAAATAGATTAGAAATTTCATAAAGTGCCTCAAATGGAGTTCAAATTGAATTTGCAGTATTCAGGATGAAGCTGGCTGTAAGATATTGGTTCACATAATAATAATAATAATAATAAAATATACATGGCCATAGATTAGTGAGGGAGGGATAATTCGCTCCTCTCCCCCAGCTATTGCAACACATACTCTGGTAAGTTACAAATCACAATGGTTTCTGCTAGCATTAAAGAGGAGAGAGGGGAAGTGTCATTGAATGGTCAGCGTTGGCTAGCTCCAAATGAGCTGGCTGTAAATTAACATTGAGGGAGGCTTTGGAAGCCTTTGATTCCCCATTCAGCCTCATACGATCATAAAGTATGTTGCCCAAATATTGGGGAGGGGGGAAGAGGAGGGGAGGAAGAAAGGAAATGGATTTCATACTCATCTCAAACATTAAAAGCAACTTCTGCTGACAGTTAAAGTTGCTGTGTGTCAGGAATAAGCTGTAATAATATCTGGAATAGATTTTATATGTTTGTTAAATGTGTTGACCTCCAGCTCGAGTTGCACATGCTTGACTGTTCAGTACTTTGGGACATCCTCCCGACGTGAAAGGCGCTATACAAATGTAATTTGTTGTTGTTGTGTACTACAATAGACAACTGTGAATGTGAGCTCTGAGAAGCTTTTTCCCCGTGGTTTAAGTTCTGCTGTTTTCTTCAGCATGTTTGCTAATTTCAACTATGAAAGGATGGCTTATGGTATTACTACTTCTTTACAAACTGCAGACACTCAAAGACTTTTGTATTGTATCTAAATTCATGGGGAGGAAACACTGGAAATGCCATGAAATCATTTGCTACCTGATCACAGAACAGTGCTGTCAGCGACTGGGAAGAAATCTGCAGCCCACGTTCCTCAGCACAAGCATCCCTCACCAAGATGAGCTCAAATGCATCTTTAAAAAGAGCTTGCCTCCCTTAGCATCGTGCTCACCTCTGCTAGAGGAGGGTTTGCAATGGCGAGCACATGTAGCAGTGTGATATTAGGAAGAACCATCCATATTTTTTTAAACATAAAATAAATCTGTGCCCAATCTCAATCGGTTATTGTGCTTGTGTTACAATAGAGCCAACCCCAGAAGAGAGAGCCCAGCGAATTGCCAAAGCTGTGCGCAAGCAGTCAACGGAAGTCAAAGAGAATTGGGAACTGCTCAACACTCATGCCAGCAACTGGCAGAAACAGGTGGAAAAGGCACTGGAGAAACTTCAGGAACTACAAGGAGCTATGGATGACCTTGAGGCGCACATGACAAAGGCTGAGAATGCCCGCAACGATTGGGAACCTGTAGGTGACCTGCTCATCGACTCCCTGCAGGACCACATTGACAAAACCACGGTCAGTAGAATTTATTTGTTTGTGAGCACTTCTGTACAAAATAACGTCTTCTTGGCATAGGCAATATAAACATCTCTGCACTTCTGCATGTCTGTCAACACATTTTATGAAATACACTTAATCAAGATTATCATGTTATGTTAATATTAAGCAGAGTAACAACAGAGTTTTATTGCTAAGATTGTTTTTTATTGGTTTGTTGATTATGGGGATGTATTATTACCTGAGGCATTTGACTTGAGTTTAAAATTGGGACAAAAGCTTTGTTAAGTCATATTTTATATGTAATATCTTTATTTTGTAATTGGCTTCAACTAACTTTTAATCCATGTGATCAGCATTCCTATTCTAGTTTCATTCCATTTGTATCTGACATGTCTTTAATAGCGTCTACAGAATATTTTTACTGAGTCTTGTATTGATGCTGTCTATCATATGCTAGTCCACCCAAAGAGCGATGTGACCTTCTTTCTCAAGGTGTTTGAAGTCAAATTGTCAATCACCATCAACTTATCGTCCACTTTATGCCATTATTATCGACTGGAACAGAAATATTCAGGACATTGTTTTCTTTCCCATTCTCTTGTCAATGTTTCTTACTTTGTTCATCATATTCACCATAGGCTTTTCCTTGGTCAGCTGGGTTCAGACACAGACAGAAACCCAAAACTGTGTTTAAGATTATTCAACCCAAACTATAATAATAATACTTACATTTGATATTGCGCCTTTGACATTGGGAGGATGTCTCAAAGAGCTTTGCAGAATATACTATAAAATGTAGGGACCTTTTTTTCTTTTGCACACAGCAATGTCTCATAAACAGCCTTGAAACAAATTACCAATTTTATTTAGGGAATTGTTGGCCAAGAGACAGGAGAAACTCAGTTTATTTTTGAATAAAGGGATCTTTAACAACACCTGGGCAGGCAGACGGGAATTGGGTTTATTGTCTCATCCGAAGAATGGCACCTCCAACAATGTAGCACACCCCCAGCACTGCATTGGAGTGTCAGCCTAGATTATATGAGTTCCAAGATCCAACGTGGGGTTTGAGCTTCCAACTTTTTGATGCGGAGAGTGCTACCAAATGAGACAGGCTGAAATACAAACTACTGAGAGTTTATATGTGGAAATTTCTGTTTGTGTGGAATGAAGTGATCACTCGTTTAGAATGACTGTGTATTCATGTATTGCCCATAAAATGCAGTCACTCCAATTTATAGTATATCCTGTCAAGCACTTTGAAATGTACTCCTGAAGTGAAAGGCATTAAACTAAATATAAGGAATATTAATTGTAGGTGAACGCAGCAGCCAAAGTTTGTACAGCAGTGTCCCACAAACAGTTGTTAAGTGAACAACCAATTTTTAATCAGGGGAATTTTTTGCCAGCCCAACAGTTTGATTAGTGTTACAGGACCTTAAATCTCTACCTGAATAGGAGGGTGGGACCTCGGTTTAATGCATGTTGTGTTGGATGCAAGTTCTGACATACAGCTCTACCCCAACACGACATTGGATTGAGAGTCTTGACTATGAGTTCAAAGTCATGCCATGAAGCTTGAATCCACAACTTTTGACTTGTTTGCAAGAGTACTACAAACTGAGTCAAGCTAACACCGTTTGGCACAGGCTGGCAAGAGCTGAGTCTATGGAAAGCAGAATAATCTTTGGGGACTACAGGGTATGCTTTGAAGGTACTGCTGCAGTTTACCTCGCTTAAACTACAGAGCTTGCCTTTGCAAACATGTCTGTCAAGCTTCCCACTGCTTGTGGAGCTCGGACCACCCTACCTGTCAGGGCTTTGGCTTTTAGGGTTAACAGGAGCCAAGTAGAATTTGTACTTCCAGTTCTTGTTTGATTTGGAGGCTCTCGACTTTTTATGTTTGCCAGTTCATGTTTGTTAGACTCCAGGTGACTAAAACAAAAATATTCTCAGAATTTTATTGATTACTTTTATTGTACAGTAAATTATGCAGTTGCATTACAGGAAGGGTGCTATAGATATGCAAGTTGTTGGTGCTATATCTTCAAAGAAAAACAGCTTTATTCAATACAAATCCACAGAGTTGTATTTGCATCTGAGGAAAGAAAGTCAAAAGGAAAGCTGTTCTGGGTTTTTGGAGCACTGAAGAATGGATAATGTAGATGTGAGCAGGCTGTTTAACTTGGACTGGAACTGTGGAACTGAGTATGGAACTAACCCTCGAGCAAAACCTGAGATTTGCAGGAATTTGTTGCGCACCGAGTAGCCATACAGTGTTGTGAACGTGTTGGATTAACGTCAAACTAAAGCTGTTAATGCTCTGCTGATTTTAACTCTTGTAAAGAAGAGCTGTCTGAATATTTGATTAGGAATAGAGTTGAGGGTTATTAAGATAAGAAGCTTTATAGCTAAGTGACTGCTGTGAGGTGGACAATAGTTGAATATAAAGTATTTTTGGTGAGTATTTCAGAGTGTAGCTTTTTGGTGGGTGAGGAGCGATCAGGGAGTAACTGTAGAGTCGTCCTTCTCGGGCTAATTGGGTTATGTTAGAGTTGTTGAGTGGATCATACGTACTGTGCAAAAGCAGTGAGCTTCAAAGATTGTATTTTTTCACAATCTTATGCTTTATTTTAAGTCCTTATCTTTTTGTAGCTATGGATACCATGGGCTCACTTTAATTCTTTAATTTGCATGAACTTTAGGCGCAAACTACATGTGTCCTATTTCACTCCAGTAAACGATCTTCAACTCATTCCACAAGTGTAATCAGTACAAGTTTTCCCTGTTCATCCACCCCCCCGCCCACCCCACAATACTATTCTTATTGGTGAAACCTAGTAATAATAATCCTTGCATTTAATATATTGCCTTATCGAGTCGTTTAGGAGTCTCTAAGTGCTTCATAGGATTTTATTGTGAAGTGTAGTGACTGTGTATTTGTAGGCAAACACAGCAGCTAACTTGTGTACAGTAATGCCCTAGATACAACCGTGAAATGAATGACTGATTCTATCTGAGTAACTGTCTGCTGTGTTGGCCTTCGACTGTTGGATAGTTATTCGGGTTGTTGAGTTTTGAGCGTTGAATCGTGCAAAGGCATCTAGGACCTGCCTCTTCCTCCCCATCACCTGTTCCTCATGTTATTTCCATTTTAAATTTATTTTCAAACTTCCCAGCAAGTTTCTTTTTAGAAAAATAACCCATTCTCGGTACTAAAGGTTCATTCTGTTCTGATGATGCAGCAAAATGCTGAAACTGCTTCATCCTTTCCACTTCTTGAAAATCTAAAATTTAATTCCAAATTCGCTCAAGCTGCTAATAAAAGACGCATTGCTTTACGCTTTACTTTCACTGTCTGTGTACTTGCCTTTCATCATCCGCAAGCTTTGGCCTGTCAGTGGAAGGAGTACTCACTTTACAGCACGTACAGTCTGCTTTGGTCTTCAAACTCTAATTGGTCTCTGCCCAGCTATCTCCTACTTACATCCAGTCTGATGCTTTATAATAAGTGAGAGACAAATCACTTTTTTCCAAATCTGTAATTTTTAGATAGATTTTGTTGTTAAGTGTTCAAATGGTTGGACTGAGAAGGTCCTTTGTGCCTGTGAACAGTTTTAAACTGAACATCGTGTTTTCACATCACTGCCTTTGAAACGTATTCGGCAGCCATCCTAGAAAATGTCCACTTCTCCCCTTTTTCACAGGTTTCCGATAAGGACTTGTGTTATCAAAAGGCAGCTAGTATTTTGTTTGGGAAATGTGTGGTTGTGCGATTTTTGACTGAAAGTCGATTAAGAGAACTGCTGAAGCATTTGACAGCTGTCTGATGTTGTCTGACCGAGAAGTGCTCTCCTCTTTTTGGCTTTATCAAGGATTGTACAGCTCAAATTACACATTGTTACAAATACAGTGAAGGGAAAGAAGGAAAATATACCGGGGCAGGGAAAGAAACAAGTGGCAAAATAATAATTGTTTTTTCAAAACTTAAGAAATTATTTATTTGCATTAATAAAATCCAAAGAAAGCTCAAGTCAAGTTGTCAACCAATACGTTTGGGATTTCCAAAATTTGTGTTTTTTTAAATTGCTTTTGGGATTACATTTCAAATGTTGTTTGTAACTTTTTGTGTTGCTTTGGGTGACGCAAGGGGAGGGGGAAACTCAAAATCACTTCAGGGTTCGTGAAGCCGTGTCCTTGGCTTTCACCTTCACTGTGATTGAAATTTATGTTAGTTCCTAAATGTAGTTGCTGCTGTTACACTTGTCCTGTTGTTCGGTTGCAAATCTAACTAACCCTGCTTTACAAGGATTTAATGCTTCTGATGTGCATCTATCACTGCTTACACTTAATTCCTCTTGATATGGGATTTATACTTGTAAACGCTTTAGTGATCCTTTGATCAGGAAAAGCTGAAAGTGACTCCCTGATTGTTCACTTGATAAAGCTGCAATGTACTATGGACCCAAGTCATTACAAACCACATGGTATCGGAGTGTATCCCTGGTCTGCACAGAGCTTTCTGATCTCAGTCAGGGCAGTCCTTTGACACTATAAGTAGTCTCTGATCCTCTTGGTTTAAGATGGGAAAATTCAGCTTTAACCAGGACCTGGGACCCCTACTGATCAAATAATAGTACAATATGTGCCTGTATGGACATCACGTGAGGGTGGGGTGGGGTTTTGCCCATCGGATCTCATTGTTCCGGAATATCAACCTTAAACAGTCTTCCCAATGCAGCAACAAACTTAAACAACTCCAGTATTCTGGCCTTTTCTTCTGTGTAAGTCGTTCCAGCTGTTGACAGCCTTTTGTTTCAAGAAATACTTCCTGGTGTCAATCCTAAACTTGCCCTTCACAACCCTTAACCTGTTCCTACTTGTCCTCCTTTCAATCCATTTTTTAAAAATATGTAGTATGTGTTCTATATTAAAGTGCCTAAATGCAATCTTGCACCTTTCTGTGATCCTATAATTCCACAGGTCAGTCTTCCCTATACTTTTTATACCTTGTC